CTTCAGGGTGGATATAGCTCGCTAGCAGCCTCGCATCGATGACCTATCCACGTCATCATTTACCCAGAATGCTTTGCGTGTAAATAAAATGGCTCCATACGTGTTAAAATATATTTTTAAAACTGTACAAAACTAAACATCCTACAGTATTTTTACAGTCTTTATTTTACAGTTAAAATGTATATTTATCAAATAAAGTCTAATGTTACAACTAATCAGGAATCCCTTTAAAGCAGGGATAGACAACTGGTGGTCCATGGGCCACTTCTGTCCAGCCTGTGGACCCTCCCATCATTTTAGTTGCCCATCCCTGATTTAAAGTGTTATTTTTTCTTTCATATCGCAGGATTGAAAACAATCACAGTTTTCTTCAGTGTTGTGCGGCTGATTAAAAACAGAGACAACAGCAGCTCACCTGGAAGCGCTGCAGGTATTCGTGAGCCACGCAGTCCCTGATGTGCTCGAGCCGCTGCCTCTGCTCTGCCGTCATACGTCCAAACAGCCGCAGGTTCTCCGTGATCGTCTCCACCTGCAGGGCGTAGAAGTACGAGCACACGTCTTCGTGCTGCTTCAGAAACGACTCGGGGATGAGCGAGCCGGGGAGCAGAGCCTCCCGGTCGGCCAGCCGAGGGCCGTAGCTTCGGATCAGCTTCGACAGCAGGGGCCTGACGGCTTCCTTCCCGTCGTAGTTCAAGCACACGACGTAAACCTCGGAGTTCCCCGACTTGCTGGTGGCGGGTTTGAAGACGCTGACGGAGCGGAAGCAGCAGTTCAGCAGGTAGAGCAGGCAGACGGAGGAGTGCTCGTACAGRGTGAACATTTTGAGCACGAAGGAGCCGCCGGAGCTGAGGAGCAGCAGCGCGGCCACGGCCTCGCAGCAGTGAAGCGACGCCACCAGCGCCTCCTGCTCGTCCGGGTTCTCCTGACAGTCGAAGCTTCCGTCTGCCGTCACCAGGTCCACCCTGCGCATGTTCGACACGAACGCCTGCAGGTCCAGCAGGTGCTTCTGGACCATGATGTTGCCYGTGTTGTCTGAGCCGAAGAACCACCAGGGCAGCGTGTTGGCGATTAACCGATCGTCRGCGATGGTGGTGCTCCCCCCGTTAGCCTCGTGGTACGGGTTCAGCGTGTTGGCGACCCAGCTCCAGTCGCAGTAACGCGTGGACTCGTTCGTCTTCACGTACTGGTTCAGAGCGGTTATGAACGCACCTGGAGCTTCACACAGGTGGACCGAGTTCAGCTCGCCGCTCCGGAGCGCCTCCTCCGGGAGGAGCTCGAAYGTCCCCAGGATCTCGTAGAACTTGCACCAGGCCTGAGTGCAGAGCTCGGCGTTGGCGGCGGCGCGCACGRCGCCGATCACCTTCCCCGCCCGGTTGGTGGCGTTGGTGTGCTGGTGCCACACCTGAATGTTCTTATCGCTGAGCTGGTCCTTCATGGCGTTCAGAGACACCTTCAGCTCCTGCAGACGCTGGTGCTCCTCTGCTGGGTGTCTGAGGGCAACATGTGGCTCGGGGACRCTCCACTCCCCGCCGGGGGGTCTCACATAGGCTTTGACTTTGTTAAAAAGACCTYGTATCTCTGCTTGTGTTTCAGGATCAGACGGCACTGCCATGCTGCGGAGGTGCTGCTGCTGCTGCTTGTTGACTTTCCTTCTGGTGCTGTTACCAGAGCTCATCCTCCACTCCTGCTGAGGAACAACAAGCAAGTGGAAATAAAATCTCTAAAATAAAAACCTCAATCTGTGATGATGGATTTATTATACTGACCATAAACTGCATCTCTTAAAATGCAAGTTGATTATTTTACACACAAAATGACGCACATTTAGTGGTTATTTTTAATCATAGATGATGCAAACATACAAAATATTCTAAACAGAAACATTTAAAATTTACACATTTTGACAAGTATTAAGGCTTTAAACAGTGTCGTCACTAGGCCTATTTTAGGGGGGCTGGAGCCCCCCTAAAATATTTTAAAGCCCCCCTAAATTATTTTGGTGTAAAAAAAAATTATTTTTTTACAAAAATTCAATATGATGTGGTCGGAATAAATAACCATTTAATAATTCATTATCAACTAAAATATATGATCGTAAATCTGTCAGTCTCCCTTTAATTTATAGTGTAAGGCAGAAATCCTCTTTGGTGCGTTGTTATCCAATCCATTCCACTTGTTCATATAGAGTACTCCCCCACCGCATGAAATCCAGTCCACATTTTTCCTGCAAGCTTAATACCAGCATGCTAGCATGTTTACACACAGAGCCAGCTAACTGCAGCATGAAGGATCRGTGAGCAGACCAGGAGAATGCTCGGTGAAAAATGGAWRTACGAAAGTTTTTCAAGAAAGTAATAAGGATTAATCATCACTGCTTGTAGTWACCATAAACAAAATGAGTAGATAGACGGACCGCTAATGCTGCTGTCGAGCCGTGGGGCCGCCATCTTGGAAAAGTCGTTTGCTCAATGAAGTATCAGCCTGTTTAATCAATCATAACTTGCTGTATACATATACAGTATATATACATATACAGTA